GAAAAACTGTTCACAATTCTATGTGAATGTAGTGTTAAGTAACCTTTGTCATAATAACTTCAACGGGGAAATCCCTGATACCCATGATGTATTTGAATGAGTATATGCGTAAGGTTTATACACAGTGATAAAAGGCTATAGTTAATAAAAGGAATGATAAAAATCAAGTATTACAATTAAGTATGCATACATAGGCAGTACATTTATTTATCTTACATTGCATGACTAAGCCTTTACATGCGGGTGTTGCCAATTGATTCAGTAAATACGGCCTACAGGTGTCAAGTGAAATTCTTCGTCTCTCTTCATGTACACTTAAGTTAACTTTAAATTCGAACCTTGTAAAGAAAACGTGTTTAGGTTGAGGAGATTTTCAAAAGTCCTCTGGCAAAAACTCTCGCTTATCTTAACCCTAAAGAATGAGATATATCCAGGTTGTCTCCTGTAAAACCTGATGGCAGTAGTGAACTTAAAAAATGGGTATACGTTTAATCAAAGTTGAAATAATATTTTGATGCATAGTCTTGAAAGCTTTTTAAATCACATTTCTAGAAACTCGTGACGAAAATGTAGTGACATTGAAGCTTTTCTTTCATTTTAGATTTATTTGGTTTTTGTCACAAAACATAAGCTCGGCGAGTTTTCCATAAGCAAACAGGTACCTCTGCCTAAAGATAATTCTGGATTTGTTTGTTTTTTGTTAAGTACAAAGGGTTACCTGTGCCATGCACACCGAGGGAATCGAACCCTGAATTTTATCATAAGTCCCCAAGCTTAATGCAGACCTCTTGGAGGGGGGGGGAACACATTTTGTTAGAATATCAGTAATACATTCAGTAAATACACACTAAATATATTTTTCTGTAAGGTCAATTACACAGTTTTAGTTATACTGCAGACATTCAAATGTCATCACATTTCCTTTACTATATAAAATATAATATGTTTGTTACAAGATGATAATTTAAATACACGCGAACGCTGACAGTTTTTGTTTTTCACAAAAGATTGTTTAGAACTTTTGCAAAGAGCTACTCAAGGGCTTTCTGCGCATAGCCATCCTTAACTTTGAAATGCTAGACTAGAGCTAGGGAAGGAAACGAGTCAACAGCACACACCACCACTTCTTGGACTACTATTTTCTAACTGAATTGTGGGATTTAACCTCCAATCTTATAGTACACTTACGGCCCCAAATCATTGAACAGTCCGGATATGATATGTTAACCATGGGGCCAGCCCCTTTCATAACAGAAAGTTTTTTTCTTTACAAAGTTTTATCTCGAACACTTCTTGAATATTTTCATTTCCATTGTACTTGAAAAGGACCGGATTTGCTGTTTTCACATAAATACTGCTTTAATAACTCAATGGAGTTGTTAACCCTAAAACTGTGAGTCAATCGTACAGACATTAGTAGATGTATCGGTCAACACAATATCTAGCAAAGAACAGAAAGCACCAAGTGTGTTTTTAAGCGATAATTAGTGTTAGAGCTTTTAAACATCACAACTTCTGTGCTCACCAATTCATCTATTACAGAGACATCTTCATTTGAAAATTACTTCTTCCTTCCGTTTCTGTGAAGATTTTGATGAAACTCCATTGCTTTATCACAAAGAAATTCACTTATAGAAGACTTGTTTTCAGCGCTAAACTAGTCCATATACAGTGGATGAATGTCTGAAAGTCTTGTTAACCATAGTCTCAGTTGTAAGTGCATGGTTGGAAGATGTGATATTTGCATAAAATGCAAACGATATGGTGCAGTCACGATGGAGTTACTGTTGAAATTAAAGCGATTAGAAAGAGAGGTCGCCCAAAAGCGTTAGAATTCTATCAAAAGTGGACAAGAAAACTACAAAACAGAATGAATAGTGAGAATCAGATACTTTGTTCTTTTCATTGTAACGACTTTCATTGTCTTAGATCGTTCAGTGACTGACAGACTTAGATATTATTGATTTGACCTCAACCAATGAAATTCATAAAAAGTAGTTGAAGAACATTTATTGTTTTTTTTCTACTAAGTACGCAGAGATCCTAGATGTCAAGAACATGTTGGAAACCATTCCTACAGTGCAAGTCAAAGTCAAAATGGAATGGCTTTGAGAAAAAAGCTTTGCTTTGGGAAGACTTTCATTAACAACAACAACAAAACTGTCAAGTTCATTGCGTTTCTTTCGAATCAAGAGATCGAATCCTAAACTTATGCAAAGTTTTATATGAGAAATTGGTGTAGATGGGATTTCTGTTGTTCAAAGTTGCCACCAAAACATAGTAATTTCTGTACGACTGACTCACGATTTTAGGGTTA